CAGCTCCATGTCTCTCCTGTACTGGGGCCCCCAGAGCTGGACGCAGTACTCCAGGTGGGGTCTCATGAGAGCAGAGTAGAGGGGCAGAATCACCTCGCTCAACCTGCTGGTCATGCTGCTTTAGATGGACCCCAGGACACAGTTGGCTTTCTGGGCTGCAAATGTGCATTGCTGGGTTATGCTGAGCTTTTCATCAATCAACACCCCCAAGTCCTTCTCCTCAGGGCTGCTCTCAGTCCATTCTCCGCCCAGCCTCTGGTTGTGCAGGTCATAGCTGTGGTTCTAGTCATAGGCTTTCCAAAAACATTGTGCACCTGCAAAAGGCTTTGACAGTTAATCATTCCTCTTGAACAGGCTGGCACAGATACGTGGACATCGTCACTATGACAAGACCGTGGAGTAGGCTGAGCTGAAGCACCGGGTTGATAGAAGCAGTCTTGGAAGACAGGGATTAGTTTCGCTGCTTGCAGGTTCAGAGGAACGAGCACCATGGTGTCCCTTCTGCAGAAGACCCTCCACAAGCTCCACTGCCAGTCTCCTCCCCCCGCCCAGCAAAGTCTTCCACCGCTTCACCATCACCAGTGCAGAGGTAAGGAGGCAGGATGAGTCTGGACACGGGTGTCTTCCCAAGCATTCACTGATGCTGACACCAGCAAGGTAAAATAAGTTTACTGCACTGTTACACTTCTGGAAAGAAAAATCTCTGCTAGTGCTGAAACTGCACAACACCCTGGGAAGCTGTCAAATAGTCTCATAGTAATGCTAAAAGATGTTTTGAAAAGTGACATAATTTAAATTCTTCAATTTATATTGAATGCTCTTTCCTGCCTGCTGAGCAAGATTCTGGTGGTAAATTCCTCCAGAGTAAGCACAAATTGTTGGGTTTTTTTTCAAGTGTGAAGTTCTCCAACACTTCCATTCTGCTGGCATTTGGAAGTCCTTCATGGATTTGTTTGAACCATGGTATATCATAGAACAATACACACAAAAAAATCTCAGTAGCATAAAGTTAAGCATCCATCGTCAAGAAATGAAATAGCTAAGAGTTTGGTGGCAGCAGTAATTTGCTTTTCTATGTCTTATGGCAGAAGGAAGTGTTTAGAAGCACCTCAGACACAAGAGCTTCATTCCTCTTCTTAGAAGGAGGTAAATAATTTTTGAGAAAGGAACTTACCCACCTTATAAAATCATTCCATGCTGTGCATGTGTTTGATACAGGAGCTGTCAGCATTTGCCACCTGAGGGTCCCAGGCTTACCCTATGGGAAAAGAAAGAAGTGCCTCAAAACCGCTTTTGCTTTCCCTCTCAAATAGAGAGGGAAAATAAACTTTAAATTACCTGCAGCAATTTTGAAACATTAGCCAAAACCACTAGCACTTTCAAAAAAGCTGGTACCTGTCCCCCTGGTCAGCAGTACTGTCAGGTAACTTTTAGCAGGGATCTATCACAAATCACAGGCTGCTTTAATAGAAGCAGTATTTTTTCAGCAGTTGTGGCTAAGTTTTCAAGAAAATCAATCCTATACATGCTGTAAAAATGTAGTGAAAGTGTAGTGATCAACGACAATTACTGGCTGATGAAGAATTTTTTTCCTTTGGTCCACCTCTAGATGCCACAGGAGAAAGCTAGCACTGCAGGCTGGGTACCTACCTGTTCTTCTGTGTAGTCATGTCCCAGGCTCATCTCCTTTTGAATATAGCACATATCTTCATTGTTCCTGTGCCAGGAGTGTCCTTCAGTTCAAACTCACCCCCTGTTCCTGGTTGCAACCATCTACCGTGTGACATGTTCTTGGGGAGCAGGAGCTTGCTTGGTCTTCCCTCCTTCTACCTTGAAAGCATCTTTCCTGAGCCGGGGCAAGCAGCTTTTCGGGTGTCCCAGGGGAGGTCTCAGGAGCGTGTGCTGTGCAGGCGCAGGTTTCCCCTGGGTCTCTGGGACGTGCCCTGCCTGACACACTTGAGGACAGTGACTGACTTTCACAGAACCATGTCATAGTGTGGGATGTGGTTTTTCCCAGGACTGACAAAAAACAACTGGTCATTTCCATCCATGGCTTCAGTTAAGAATGTTCTTGCTCCTTGTCCCCAAGCATGGTACTTGCATTTTGCACTATTGCATTTTATCCTGTGTTTATTACTCCAGACAGCATTAGCTGACTCCCGCTTCGGTCATTCGTGGAAATAATGTGTAAAGTCAACCCAAAGCCAGTTAATTATCTTTCTCCACTGTGGTTCTCTTCATCCTGAGTGTTTTGTCTTTCTATGGTTTGCCAGCCCTTTCAGCTAGCTCGCAGTTCTTGAATTAATTTCCAGGTTCTATAGTTCATCTACTCATTTCCATTTAGCATGGAATCAAGCACTTAATTAAATTCCACGTAAATCAGGTATACCCCATTTACCACATTTGTTTTTGGCCAAACTAAGTTCCATTCTTTTTTCATGCTGTTGATTTCTGTAGGTGATCTGGAGTACTTGGAGGATTTCCTTTCAACCTAGTCAAGAGAAGGTTTTCCCGAAGGAGGTGAAGAAGCTCCATAAAGAATTTTTGCTGGATCAGCAGTTACAGAGCAAGTATTGCACTAGCAAACAGTGAACAAATAAAGTGTTAGAAGCCATCTCAGCCCTAGTGAATAAGACTTTTTTGTACTGTATGGTTAAACTTTTTTTTTCTAACTTGTTAATAATTTTCTTTTCTACATCTATGGATTTCATTTGATTTATGAAATCATGCTAAAATTTCATGAGTCTCCCCCATTTTAGTTAATATTCTTGTGAGACATGCTTGCATATCATTTGCAGTTCTAGATTATCTTTTTTGCCTAAGCAAAATGTAAAGAATTATCATATTCACCTGTGAAGTTTCTCAGTGAAAATGTCAACAATTTTAAAGCATGGAGTATAATTATATAAGAAAGCTATTTTATTTCATTTCATTCTTTCTTTTAAGCCCTCTAAATTACTTTCTGGAATTGCCTTTCTGTTCTTATTACATGGTAATGACTGTAATGAATACAGCAATAAACCAGTTACCTAGCACTGTAGCTATGGAGAAATCACAAGTCATTGGAAGTATGTCTTAAATACCCATTGTATACATTTCCAAGTGTTTTCTTCTAGTTATTTGATCTTTAAATAAGGTACTTAACGGTTTTCAATACACAATCAAGTTTAATGTTTGTATTGCAGGATAGTGTTACAAATTTAGGAAACGACATCGAGTCTATTCAGCTGTGGAACTGTTTCCATTTTTCATTTGACATTCCAAAGCGAATCACATTTAATATTCCCTTTTTAATTGTTTTGGACTTTACCCTGTGTGGAGGGTGAAATTACCTCTCTTGAGTATTTAATTTTGTTTCAATGGAGTGTCTTGAATTGTAGCTTTTCAGGGAAGGGGAGGCAGAACACCCAACTCCGAACTAAACAACGATGCTGTCAGTGGAGTGAGTCCTCTCTCTTTGGTAGCAGCTGCAGGAGCAGCAGAGAGATGGCTGCTCTGCAAGGGATGGGGAGGCAGGAGCTGGGAGCCAGGGTAGGCAGGGGACATGTCCTCTCCAATGGGTCTGTGGTGAACGAGGAGGTCTGAGGTACAGCCAGAAAATCAAGTTGGTGGGTTGAGGTGTGGGAGGTGCATGGCCAAGCACAATTGTCCTGTGTCAGAACTGAACTTGAGCCCGGCCAAACAAGCCCCTCAGAGCAGGGTGGGAGGGGCTGTGGAGCCTTTTGGTACACCCAAGGCCCTGACAGATCCTCTCTCCCTCAGCAGCATCTTCACATCTCTTTTCTGTTCTCTTCTGCTCTGTGAATCACAGAATCACAGAATCACAGAATCACAGAAGGGGAGGGGTTGGAAGGGACCTCTGGAGACCATCTAGTCTAACCCCCTGCTAAAGCAGGATCACCTGGAGCAGGTTGTACAGCATGGCATCCTGGTGGGCTTTGAGTATCTCCAGAGAAGGAAAAAAGAGAAAGACTTTGAACATCAATGCCCTCCTCTGCCTTTACACCACTGAAAAATGGCTGTAGTTGCAGACACTCTTTGCTGCTTGACGACTGTCATAGGTCTGCCTGATTGATGTGTATGGGGGCTACGGGGTCCCCAGAAGGAGCAGGCTGGTAGGTGCTCTCCACACAGCCTCTGCATCAATGTCTCAGATGAGTTTTGAACCTCTCTGCAATTCCAGGTACAGCCAGCATCCAGCCTGTCATCAGCTCATCCTTCCTCTTTCTCATCAGCATATAAAGCAATGGCCCAATCTATTGTCTCATCTCTAGTCTCAACCTCTCCCAAGCTCTTTCCTCCTAACACCGAAGTATTGACATGTTCCTAACCCAATTTTATTGCATTCATGATCACTTTTTAAAATAATCAGGTTACATGAGGATTATTTTGTGTTTATTCTTTTCTGTCTTGTTCTCATACCACAGGACAGGCGAGGAATGTCTTTGGCAACAACATGCTGGAGTACATAGTTAATTTATGTCAGAGCCTTTACGATTTCCTCGTCCAAATGCGCGAGAACATAATTATACACATACTGTCATTTCTAGATGCTGATGACCTTCAACGGCTGTCAAAAACATGCAAGAAGTTCCAGCAGGTAATGTCAGATATCAGTGCTCGTATTCAAGTTTGCTGTTAAGAAACAATGTGAGATGGGACTTCACTTCAGTCTCATTCTGTAGAACCATTTGCATTTCTGCAGTAGCCAGAGATGGAAAGCAGCACAAGACAGAGACCTGGGCACAGATCGGTAGTAACAGAGCGGGTCCTTCATGCTGTGGGTAATCTAAACCCTCTGTCTGGCCAGCTGGATCCTTCTAACATTACTTCTTTCTGTGTTCACAAGAGTTGGCAACTGAGATCCTGATTTAAAAAAATAAAAAATAAAAAAAATATGCAAGTTTTATGCAGAATATTCATACTTGACTTTAGAATATATAAACGTTTTTAAAGAGAAAAAAAAAAAAAGAGCTTCCTACTTCTGCATCTTTTTGTATGTCCTGCCTTCTGCACATGCTGGGAGGCAATGATGGATTGACCTTGAGTCAATATGCCATTTTTGTACCAACATCTAAAACCCCTCTGAAGTTAGTCTCCCTTTTGGAAAGTATTGAATTTTTCTAATCAAGGCTGCTAGTTGGAATTGGGCAAAGAACAATGCATTCACAATTGCAATCCTACGTGTTCTATGCTTGTGTCAGTTCAAATGAAAATACTTTATTTATATATGTAACAGTGTCCTGGTTTCGGCTGAGATAGACTTCATTTTCTTCCTAGTGGTGGGAACAGTGCCGTGTTTTGGATTTAGGGTAAGAATCATGTTGATAATGTGCTGATGTTTTAGTAGTTGCTAAGTAATGTGTATACTAAGTCGAGGACTTTTCAGCTTCCTGTGCTTTGCCAGTGAGGAGCTGCACAAGAAGCTGGGAGGGAAAACAGACAGGACAGCTGACCCAAGCTGGCCAAAGGGATATTGCATACCATGTGACATCATGCTCACTATATAACTGCGGGAGTTGGCCAGGGGGGCACCACGTGGTGGTGCATGACTTGTTTTGCATGACCAGGTGGTGAGCAATTGTGCTGTGCATGACTTGTTTTGTATATTCAATTATTATTATCATCATCACCATGTACCTTTTCTGTCCTTTTAAACTGTCTTTATCTCAACCCACGAGTTTCACTTTTTTTTCCAATTCTCCTCCCCATCCCACCAGAGGGGGAGTGAGTAAGCAGCTGCGTGATGCTTAATTGCCAGGTGGGACTGAACCGTGACAACCAGTAATGAGAGTCTCATAGTATTTATATAGTTGTAGATGTGATATGCAAATGAGACATGTTCAGGAGATCAGGATGTGGCCTAATGAAGTGTAAACCACAAGATATATCTGGAAAATATTTATTTTTTTAGTTATGCAGCAGTGAAGAGCTTTGGGAGAGAGTTAAACTGTTAAGAGGGAAACCAGCTCTTGGTAAGAAGAAGATGGCATTTTCAGTCTTCAAGAAGCTGATGAACTTCAATGAAAAACCCAAGCAGATGCAGAGAAGACAGAGCACATTCTTTTAAGTCACTTAGAAATTATCAGATAAGGCTCAATAAATTTCCCATTTGTTTCACGTATTCTTTCTTTCAAATGAAACAGAGTTATAAATAAATAGTAATCACTGGAGAATTTTAAGTTTCTCCTCTCATCATATAAGACTCAGCACCACCAACTCACAAGTCATATCTCCAGCTGATTTTTAACATTCTATATTACATCAGGTTGGGGGGGGGGCAGTACTAAATTAGGGTGGTTTTTTTTCCTTTTTTAAGCATGCTTTATTTTGGATTTCAATTTTTTACATAGTCAGTGGGTTTTTGCCATCTTAACAATTCACACCTTTGGGCTGTTCAAGACTAATGCTGCAAACAGAGGCTGGCAGAGAAACAGCCTGCAGCACCAAGAGCAGTGCTGGCTGACCACAGCTGGCCAGATGACCATCCACCTCCACAGACTCTCTGAAAACAACTTACAGACATTTGATTTTAAATTAAAAGAAGCAGCAGAATATTTTTTAAAAATGTCAATGACCTCAGGACTCAGTAAGAAACAGGGCAACAAAAATTCAGGGAAGCTATCAGTGAAGCTTTTTATTAAATTCATTTTAAAAGCAAGAAAGCAGATGGCACCTAAGTCAGCTGCGATGTAACCAGACACAATTCTCTTTCCTCAGGGATGCTGTATCTACTTTCAGCAAAGCTGAATTTGCAAAACAAAGTTACTACTGTGGCAATAAAGCTCTCACGCCACACTGAGTTTGCACAAAGACAGGCTGCAAGCCTGCATTTATTTGCAGGCTACAGAAATGCTCCCGTCCTGCTGGTGGTGGCCAATACCTTCCGCTGGCCCCCTTAGATGGAGGAGGAATATAGAAGCCTGTTAGCTGCTGAGGAACAGAGGTTGTCCCAGGAGTTCCTCGAGCAACACAGCTGAGCCATCAGGCAGCGGGGGCTCCTCGAGTTGCGGCTGCGGTGCAGACACCGATGAGCGCTCTCTCCACGTCCGAATCGGAATGTCTTGCATATTCCTTCCATGTGAATACAGAAGTCAAAGGCAGGCTGTCTGCCCACCCTGTGCAGGGAGCTGCATTCACAAGGAAGCAACAACAAGTGAAGAGGCTGCAGGAATCCCGGTCAGCGAGGGCATGGCAGCTTGACCTGACGGATACAGATGCTTGACAGTTTTTACCGAGTCAAGGTTTGACATCCAGTCTCTGGTAACTAAAAGATAAGGAAAATAAGCCCCAAATGGAAAATTACTGCTAAATAAACTGTGATTAAATACCTATAATGCTATCAAGAGGTACCCATAATCTAGGCACTTGGGTGAAGGTGGGGGAGTAGCCTGAAGGCCACGTTGGCCAAAAGGTATCAAGCTCGAGTTTGTGAGCATGTGCAAAATCGTGGCTTTCCTGCATCCTGGGGGTCCTTCTCGCAGGTGAGACCCCTCCTCCAGCCTCCCCTGGGTGGGAAATACTTGCTTTCGAGCAGACCCTCATCTGTTGAAGATCTCAGCCCTGTCCAACTCTACTGCAGGAGAATTTCCTGGCAAGTCTCCTTCTCCTCAGACCAAGCCGGGCTCTTTCACTGAGGGCAAAGCCTGCCCCATGCTAACGCTACCTGACTCAGCCGGGACGCCGAGACGAAATCCTTTCTCTCCAGTCAGGATAAACTTGGCAAACAAGTTAAACTTTAGATGGAGCTAAACCCAAACGATTCTCAAACAGCAGTTTTACTTAAGCTTAAAGTAATTTTAGCTGGCAGTTCACTGACGTAGCTTGATATTAAAATTGTTCTCAACTGTATTTTTATCTGCTTCTGAAGAATACAAAGTAGCATAGCATCCTACTTAATTTTCTTAGAGTAATAGATGAAAAAATTGCAGAAGATTACATCTCAAAATCATAGTCAAAATCTTTTTGCTTTTATTTTATTTAATGCTTAGTATCTGGGAAAATACAATAAATAATTTTTCAGTCTAGAACAATTAGATGTTATGCTTAATAATAAAATGTTCAAAGAAGATGTAAAAATAAATTAATGTCTTACTATTTAACTTCAGTGACAAAGCAAGTCTCAGTTTCAGATAACTGAGAAATTTTCAGCCATGAAAGACAAATGAACATGTCCTGCCCTTGTGTAAACACGCGGCCATCACTGAAACCAGTGGAAGAAATATATACATATATACACACACACACATATATATGTGCCTGCATCAGAGGGCAGAATTTGGCCTAGATCTTACAAAATGGTAATTGACATTCATGTGTGTTTATTTTTTTAACAAATAGAACTGCAGAACAGTTATGTATCGTACATTTTCCAAATCCTGCAACTGCAACTTATATGAAACATTAGCATATAAAAAGTCATCACTGTACAACAACTTTTTTTTTTTTAAAAAGTCAGTGTCAAAACCATAAAAACCAGCTAATTTATTAAAACTGGATATATTGTTTAAGTGCTGAGGTTTGCGTTAGCTTTCTTCTGTTTTAAGCACAGGAATCTATTAAAACATAAAAGGCAAAAGTGGCTCAGAGAATGGCGAACTCTCTTACAACATACTCGGAGCTTTACTAACACTTATCTGACACTATAGTTAATTGAAAAACAATGTAAACACAATGAGGTACAGATACCAACGGACATTTCTCACAAATGTGCAAACTGTGGGCCTCCTCCTGCAAACACTACTGGCTCCAGAGCTTCCTCCCGGGGCCGGTCCCACCGAGTCTGACTGCAACTCCCTGCCGCTGCCATTTGCAGGAAGGGGTCCTGTGCCCCTCTGGTCATGCACCAAACATTTAAAGTGCCTCAGATTTCAAACTGATGCAAATCTACGGTTCATTTCTTTAGACTTGAAAAGATGAAACAGCTTCTGAAAAGTCTTATACAAATACTCCTTTAAAACTATCAGAGGTTTTCTATTTCAAGGTAAATCTAATAAAATACTGAACTGCTTTTAAACTAGGCAAATAGTGTTTGCTCTGCTTTTTGTAAAAAAGCAACTATATTCCTTTGCTGTAAGATACTTTATATCACTCTCCCCTTTATTTTACAGAAAGTAAGAGGCAGACCTATTCTAATTTTGTTGGTGCAATCGCCTGTGGAGTTCTGAAACAGCCCTATGGATTTTTTGTGATGACACTGAATCTTAAGTTCACCCCTTTTCACAAGTCCTTCCTCCAATTCACTTTATTCTGCTTCTTCGCTCTTCTCAGAACCACCTCCAGCTGAATTATCTGCCTCACACTTTTTATCAAGAGCATCTTCAAAGGACTTCCCACTGCAGTCGTAGGTTTTACTTGTAGATCCCGTATGTGTTCGAATGCGAGCTCCTGGCTGGTATAACTGCATGGCCGGCCGATCCTAGAAGGAGGGAGATGTGATTAACGCTCTGAGAAACCCATGTGGGATACATGTGTGGGATTTCAAAGTGATGAATGTTTGTGAAGAAAGCAGACTGCGTGTTAAATCACTTTACTTTTCATAAGACCCAGGACAAAAATGGAGTGTAATGAAAATTGAGTATTTAATATCTGTCTTGTTTATAACACTATTCTTGGGAGCCAAGCATTTTGAATAAATAAAGCAAGCTGAAAAATTAAAAACCCTATGGTACATCTGATGTAAACAAGGAGAAATACTGCAGACAATTATCAAACATAGTATTACAGGTAAAACTCTGAAAAATGTTGTTAATGTTGCTACCTTCACTAACATCAGCTGAGCAGAACAATAGCCTGCACACTTGCAACTCAGCAGATAAATGACAAATATTAAATATAAGCATAAAAAAAAAAACAAACCAGAGAACAGTTTAGCAGGTAACAGCTAGAAAATTATCCTCAGCTGAACTTTACCAATCAATATGTGTGCAGTGCTACTTCGAATCATCAATCACTACCACAACTTAAACACGGAGTGCGTATTTTAATTACATATATCAAAATAAAATTGCAGAGTTATTGCTCTGCTTCATTGTGCCTTCCATGCTGAGTATGAGAGCAGAAGAATTCAGCCACTGATAATAAACAAATATGATTTGAACATGCGCAGGCTTTCTGAATGATCCAATCATACACACGCTGATTTGATCACTGGAAAATGGAAGAAGGAGCCAGTTCACAAGGAAAAGACACCTCAAACTTGCAAATGGTGACGTTCCATAGCTCTTGAGAGTACTTTTTACTCTTGAAATTTCAATAATGAAACTCTGCTTAAGACATCGTTTCGTAGAAAGAGTATTTTACTCTCACAAATAGTAGTTTTTAATGTTATGCAGCAACACATTCACCAAAACCAGAGCTTTTAGATCAAAGTCTTGTGTTAAGTCTGGCAAACGAAATTAGACAGCCTATTTTAAGACAGTGGCAGAGCACAGGAATTGTCCTACATCAAATTGTATCTCCATCAAACTATATTTCCATCTCTCTTTATAATTTGAAGTCATTCTAGTCTTTTAGTCTTACATTCATAGAATCACAGAATGGTTTGGGTTGGAAGGGACCTCAAAGATCATCTAGTTCAGACCATCCTGCCATGGGCAGGGACACCCTCCACTAGACCAGGTTGCCCAAAGCCCCATCCAACCTGGCCTTGAACACTGCCAGGGAGGGGGCATCCACAGCTTCTCTGGGCAACCTGTGCCAGTGCCTCACCACCCTCACAGTGAAGAATTTCTTCCTAATATCTAATCTAAATCTGCCCTCCTTCAGCTTAAACACATTACCCTTTGTCCTATCACTACATGTCCTTGTAAAGAGTCCCTCTTCCTCACCACACTGCAGAAAATTTTACTGATATTGCTTATTTTGTTTAGGGAACAAACCTAGAACTTGAACTGTGGACTAATCCAGAGACTCAGAGAGGTACCAGAAGTGCGATAGGAAGAAATAAAAAGCAGGTGGCTTCTTAAGACTTGACAAAAGGCCCTCAAGACCCCCCATCCAGTTCCAAGATTGCAGATTATTTTGCCAGATTTCAAGAGCAGCATGGTAAGCATGAGGAAAATTGTTTTT